TACGTTGGGCGGGACGCTTAGCTCGGCTCACCGACGGGAGATTGGCGATGATCATCAACTGATATCCTCGCAGACGAATTAGGCAGCTTGGTCATTCCCTAGGATGATCTCAAGAATATATAGATCTTAAAGGGAGATGGCACTAAAGCACAAGGAATGGTGGGCGTTTTGCACCCAGCACGATTCGTCATCGATTATCGGCCGGTTCAGTCGGTATTGAATACCATATTGTGGATATAAAAAGGGCGCTGCAGTTTGCAGTAGTTACTACCTAATTGTGGACATTGCCTTCAAAATGTAAGTTTTTCTTTAGTGATACCATCAAACGAAAATTTGTACCCCAAATAGCGGCCGTAATTGAAATATTAAGGAAATTTAGTTATTTTTGTTTTCCTGCTATCAAAACCAAGAAACGCAATGGTTTTAATGTAGAATTTACTTTATACTATTTTAAAAAGTGAATTCATTTTTCAGGTCTCGACAATACCAAAGCCATTCGCTCTGACCCGAGTCTGTGTTTTCTACAGCGATGCGGTCCCGCTCCCGAAGCACTGACAAGCCTTTCTTCTGAACAGCAGTGTTGTGATTTTGACGATAAAAATGCAGAGTATGATTTTGTTCGTGTTTGAAACGTTTGATCGTCGCAATTGACTTTCAGACCGGTTCATTCGCCAAGTGTCGAGAAACTCTGCATGACGGAAGAACCAGCTGAAAAATCGACAGTCGATGAGGTGAGTTCAAACTGACAGTGTGTCTTATATGTATGTCTTTGGAGTGTTGGATCGCTGCGGTGCTTTGGCATTGACCATTCACACTCACAAAACTTCGTTAGAATTACATAACCCGATTTGCCCCATTTATGTATTCAAATGATGAGATTTGGTCATGCTAATATGAACTTTTTGTATGATATAATTAACCTCTGATTTCCATTCTTTTGCTGCATGCTCTGTTTCTGTCTATTTGAATATAAATTGCGGCCTTTCTAGCCGAAGGCAAATGCCCTCGACATAGTCGAAGAAAAGAAATCAAACCTCTTGGAATTTCCGTGTTCGTTGGAGTTG